CCTTACAACTCAGGACAATGTTATCTTAAGGTAAGGCCAATGTTTTAAAAAAAACAATATTTATATTTCAAAATATTATCTTTATACTACTCTAATGTACCTTAAATTATTATTCCAAAACTGGGGGTTGGTTTCTCAAGGTGATTCGCTGTCAGACATTATACAGAATATATACTTAATAGACGTGTATATCGTATTTACATATTTATTCCGAATCTGCTGTCCGTAATTCGTGGCGTTTGTGTTTTATCACCTCTTAGTATAAAAAAAAATCGTCCCGCTGTCTGTCCCTATGTATGTTATTAGATCTTAAAAACTACGCAACTGGTCTTGATACGATTTTTTTCACTAGATAGAGTGATTCAAGAGGAAGGTTTATATGTATGATAAATTGGACCTGTGCGGAACCGGGGCGAATCGCTAGTGTAAAATAAACGATGTTTAGTACCTGTAATTTTATAATCCATAGTGCATTTTACACATTTTCTATCTAAGCTTTGGCGTTAAGGATAATGGTTTTAACAACATCATAAAACCTTATCAGTTGGCGAGGCCTATTCAAGACGGCCGTGACCTTGAGTTATGACGCATCACACAGGTTCAAGGTGACAAACAAAGTCGCCAAACGCTGTGCAATAAACTCTTTACTCAGAAGTGAGAATTGCTGAGAAAATACGAGCGGTTTCATCTTTGTATCTGCCTTCACAGCTGATGGTGTTAACCATCCATTAATTTTAATAATTGATATTAATTTTTACTAGCAAACCTAGCCGCCTGCGATTTTTAAAACAAACAGCATATAATCAAACTTATAATAGCCTCGTGATAGGCTCTACCAATTTATTTAATTCACGCACCACACAAGTGGTCGGGTAATTTCACTTCCGTGACGAATCCTGACTCACCTGTTATGAACAAAGTGACCACGAGACAATAAATCTCTTCATCAGCTGTATTCCGCGTTGCCAGCGATTGGCAATAGCGAAACTGGCGTGGTGCCAGATGATACAATGATCTGATGATTCCATCGGTTATATCATTTTTTATATATTGACTTGTTAGAAGTTGAACCTTTGTTCTAGGAAGGTCCACTGCGAAGATCCATGTAAATTAGATAAGATGTACATTAATGGTCTTATGCGCTCTTGTTTACACATATAACATTTTGTGTGGAGAAATAACAGATAATTGATATTATAAATCAAATTGAATGGCAAAGATGCTCACTTCCGATTTTTAATTTTTGTTGTTTGTTAAATTAACTAGGATTCTACCAATGGCTTCAGATTATATAGAAATAGTTTTTTTTTGTCATTGATGGTTTATGACAAAAATGCTGACTGCATAAAAATGAAGTATTATCGTCATCATCATTATCAGCTGCCTATACACACCTCTGTGAAAATTTAGTAATATCCTAGATGTATTTTAATCAATGCCGTTGACATTACCTCTCTTGTACGTTACACATCTACTACCGTAATAGTTGAAACCCCGGCAGATCAATCTCCAAACGGCAGGCTTTTATTTCATTTGAATTCGTTCCTCTGTTCGAAATTTCATCATATAAAATCAAATACCTTAAATTAATTTGATTCCTCCATAATTTTTGAATTATGGTCCTCGTATTCAATACAAAGAAGTAATTTGCTCAGCATTGCGACATTTACTGGCTGCATTCAGAGTGCGTGCGTGCTTTAAAATTCTCATGTTTGATATTTAAATAAACTATTAAAATTATCAAAGGATTATATTATTCTACATATTTAGGTTCAAAGATTATATTTACTTAACTCATTCATAATTGGCAGTCCATTTATGGCTGTTGGTTCACCTGATAACCACCGCCCATGGACATCTGCAACACCCGTAGGGTTTCGAATGCATTGCTCCCTTTCAATGAAGTGGACTCCAGACTCAACTCACTCCAGATAAAACCAAGAGAATAACACTTACATTTCAGGACGGTCTTCTGCGAAATCGTGCTACTTTTTATACTGCTTTTTTTCTGTTTTAACCGTATTTTAGTTAATGTTTGTATTATTATAATGCTCGTATTTCACATTTAGTTTTGTAAAAGTTTTTTGGTTTTTGTCTCTACTGCCTGCTGTAAAGTAGTTTTTACCTATAAATAAGGTACCACTTGCATAACTTTTTTGCAAACCTTGTATAATTATTCTGTCACAGTGTGTACTTTGTTGGTGATAAATAAATGAATAAATAAATAAATACTCAGATCGGTGAATATTTCTCACAAGATATACGATAATTTCAAAGATTAGATGATCTATTGGTCATCCAACCAAAAGACAGTTGATAAGTTTAATACTAGCACATGCGGTGATAACAATATAATTTGAATTTATCTTATGTTCATTAAAAAGATCATATACAGATGTAAAAGCCCTGGATGATAAATTTACTTGTTGAAGATTCAGTTGGCAAAGCTGCTCAGCTCTATGGATCGACGATGCGGGGTCATGGTTGGATTCTCTTACAACAAGTACTCGTCCGCCATACAAATAATTATTTAGGATCTGGGCTCTTTATGCGAAAAGTTGTAAAGCGACCAGTGAGTTTTTCATCACTACATAGTATAAAACAGAGTTGTCCCGCTGTCTGTCTGTCCCTATGTATGCTTAGATCTTTAAAACTACGCAACGGATCGTGATGCGTTTTTTTTTTTTGCTAGGCAGAGTGATTCAAGAGGAAGGTTTATATGTATAATACATTGCACCCGTGCGAAGCCGGGGCGGGTCGCTAGTCTGATGATAAGCGAATACCGCCGACCAACATCAACAACACCCGACAGTTTGCAGAAGCGTAGGCAATTATAGGGCCCCCATTACCTCAGTCACCAGACGAAACGCGAAAGTATAATACTTCCACTCCACGCGGGATTCAGTGAGGCCGTGGTACTTTCATGGACCTATTTGTCCTGTCGGCGTACCCCAAGAGCATACGTCTAAGAGCAGGAATATGCGAAGTAGCTGCAAGTGCAACAAAATTTGAATTTGTTCAGTAGAATTGCAGCGGAAATGACTTACTTATTTCCCTGCGGTTTGGTAAATTCTCCGTTACTTTTTCGTGTGTAAACAAATTCCCTGAATGTGGTTATGACGCGTGTATGACCATAGTAACAGTCATCAGCCGCGTTGCCCGTACAAGCGATTCGGGGAATAAAGTCTGGTTATTCACTTGATCTATAGATATTTGGAATAACAATAAGTAATAGAATTTCTTAAATGTTTTATAGTATCACGTGAAGTCCGGGGTTAATGTTTGTTTTCGTCTTAGATAATTGCTATAATTGCTATTTTTAATGGTTTAAATGGAAGTTATGAATTAATTCTGGATATTTGTCACTTAACGTAAAAGTGGTTTCAACTGTAGTACGGCCAAGCAACAGTCTCCGGTATTGCAAGAATTGGCAGCTCCATCTGGGGAAGTACCACGGTCTCACTGAAGTCCAGCGTGAAGTGGGAATCCATCCACCATCCCACAACGTAAATCGGTAGAGCTGAGCAACATCGCTGAAGCTGAGCAACTGAAACTTCAATAAGTAAATTATCGTAGTAGGTGTTTTCATAAATTCTAATTAAATTATTACGTCGACCACCGCATGAGCTAGTATTAAAATTATCATCAGTTTTGGGTTGGATTCCCAACAGATTAATCTTTGAAACAATGGTACAACTTGTGAAAAATATTCACCTCTCTATATTACGAAAATAATGTTTTGGAAATATCGAAAAGAACGCGCGGCTGTCGAATCTCGCTGCATTAAATGAGATGCCTATATCTTTTTAATCCTTTATCGAGTAATTCAATAAAGTCAATAGTTTAGACTTATTTATAAGGTTTTACTATAGGGGTCGGTGGCTAACTGACCCTTGTAGTAAAACAACAGATGCAGTGTGTAGTGATAAATTAACAAATAAAATCTTACTAAGAAAATTTACTCGGAAACGCATACAATTACTCTGCGCTCGTTAGTATTGTTTCCTTCTTGTCTATACAATGAAGAGCTCAGAATTCAAGAAAGATATATCTTATAAAGAAACACAGGCAGCCACGGATTTAAACCCAGTAGTGACCACCGATGACCCTTCTTGAACCCAAATGGCGTAGTGCCTGACTGCCTCCGGCGCCAGAGGATGTAGGCTCGATGCCCATTAATGGAAAAATATTGTGTGACGTACATAGTGTTTTTCTAGTGTCTGATAGACGTATTATAATATGTATTTGTTTCCAAAAGAAAATTATGATTAAGTATGTTTATCAGTTATCTAGTACCCATAGTATAGGCGTTAGTTTGGGACTAGAGAACGTTGTGTAAAAATGTGTCCTAAAACATTTTTTTATTTTATTTGTATGAACCCTGGCACTCAGAGACAAGCTTTTAGTCGCATTTTAAAAGTTTCGTGAAAAGCGTACTGAATTCATTAAATTGATTGTATTAAACTTGTAGGATATTTGAAAAAGCTAACAGCCTTTAAACTTATTTGCCACTGCTTGCACGGCTCTTTACGCACTTGCACTGTGGTAGAGTATCAGTATCTGCTGTTGCATAAATGGTTAGGCTCATAGGAGGAAGTACAACGATTCCACAGAAGATCTAATGTATTGATATTTATCCTATTGCGTTCAGTGATGAAACTCGGACTCATCGAGGTATCGGGTATGTATATTACATCAACAATGTAAAAACGCTATCTTCTTTGCCAGATTCTCCTGCGAGGATAAATATTTACGGTGCCAAGTAAAAGAAACACTGCGTTGAAACGATCGGAATATTAATAATGAAACATTTTTTCGTTTTTGAACTGTCTGTGCTTCATATTCGAACCAACTATCTGGCATTAAGCGCTGCGTCACTGCGCCACGGTTCAACCCCCGCGTGTCCGTCAACTTTATATAAAAGATGGCGATACACACAGCGCAGTCCCACAGTTCGTTACGCGTGCGCAGGATTTACTTGCACTGTGTGTTACCTCGAGATGACGCGGTTAGCATTAGTGAGTACAATTCTTGATTAATTTATCGAAGGAAATGAAATTGCAAGTATTGTGTGTATGAGACATCATATAGCATTTGTGTTTGTTATTCCTTTTGGATTCAAATTGCAGATTTTAATTTATTTGTTATTTACTCAAAGATTTTATTAATATAATAAATGTAAGCCCAAATGTAAATCATGTTATAAAAAATAAATTTACATTTTTTTTTTCGTTTAGTAAATTAATCGTCGTATAAATATACCAAAAAGGTTTTATAGTGTTAATGTGATATAGTCTGTGGCTACTCTGTACCTCATGCTGTGAGGGTAAGATGCGAAAAGCTTTATCACCACTCTTTTTTTTTTTTTAACTTTGTCGAATTAAGCAATAAAACAGTATTCACAATAATAAATTTAAAACTATAAAAAGAAACAATTTTCTTTTAACGTTGCATTTAATAATAAAAACTGATTTAAAAATTTAGATATAACTGACCTTATACCAGTAAACTTATTTTTAAATGACTTACACTCATTTCTGTTTTATGTGTTTCGGGTCTTCTGTTGTAAAAATTTAAACTATTTATGTACACTAAACATTTAACAACAAATTGCTACTTTACAGAATGTAAGTCGTAGAGAATTATAGTTTAAAGTGAAAAATTTCTTTTCAGATGACCCGATGACACGCTATATAATCTTAAATGTATAAAAATATGTAACATTCGCAACTTTAGGATACGTTCCAGCTTTGAAACGGAATTTAAATTAATTTTAAATTTTAAATTTAAATTAACGAAATTAATAAATTAATTTTTTTTAGAATGGACAGGCCACCTCGAGTAAGACACATCTTACTCGAGGTGGCCTGTCCATTCTGAAATCAAGGACAAAAAATAAACGAAATCTAGAGCATTGGTAAAAGAAAGTAACAACCTAAATATGTCCCACTGCTGGGTAAAGCCCTCCCCTGTACAGTGGATATAACGCACAGTCCACCACGCGACCCCACTGCGGCTTGCCAAACTTCACGTTGTAGAAATATTTTTTGTTGTTATTATGAACACATGCAGGTTTCCTCGCGATGTTTTCCCCATTTCACAATTTCATTGGTAATCAAAAGACGAAATCAAATAAATTAGAGTTAAGATACGAAATCAAATAAATTAGATTTCTAACCTAATTCACACATTAAGATTTCATTTTTCAGTATTGATGTGACCATTTTTTAATAGTAAAAGTAATAGTAAGTCTTTTTAAAGTTTTGAATAACTTACACGTACAGTCTTCGCTGTTGCACGAATGGGCAGGTCCGTCCGGGGAAGTACCACGACCTCATTAGACGGTCGTGTAGTGGAAATGTTATCCTTCGTTCATGAGTGTGATAAGCCGGAGCACAATTTATTAAAAAGTTACTACGGGTGGAGGTAATCATTTAACACCAGGTGAACTGCCAGCTCGCTTGCTATCTTCACATTACAAAAAAATCCAGCACTGTAGGCAGCGGTGCCCACTGCCCATTCGTTCTAAACTCTTTCGTATAGAATATCGGCGTCTTGCGACACTTCTTGATACAATATTAACCATCTTGATCACCGTCTTGATACCGTCGAAATTATTGTCGAAAAACCCATCGTATTTGCGATGACTAAACCACAATTCAACTCGTCCCCGCCAAGCTTCTAACGATTAGACGAGGAACGATTTATTTCTCCGAATCCACACTTCTGACTCTCCTTTATTGTGGTGCTTTGACGACTCCGCCATCAACCGGCGAATTGCCTAACCACCAGCAAAAGCAGGTCGTGTGACATACGGAAAGCGAATCAGCGAAGCGCGTCCCTCGTCAGCTGCCCAAGCACTTACTAGACCTCTCGTTATAGCTTGCGACATAAATCTTTCAAGCGATTGAGGAAGCCAAGTTACGACTCCGCAACGGTCACTTACCTGCATGCGATTCAGCGCAACTTGAGTGCCATTTCCGAATTTAAGCATAGGCATTACCCTTTCAAGCAGTTAAGAAACTAGATAATAATCCCATAACTAACCGTAGTACCGATGTAGTGATTTTACAGGAAATAGTTTCATACTAAAATATCATCGGAAAATCGTCGACAATTTGAGTAGTTTCAGTCGAATAATCAGTAGAGGTTTAAATACGTATATTTTAAGCATAAATATAAATAAATGAGTAGTGTAGAGCATACTTTTCTCATTAAACATAATAACGCCAATCGAGTCGAGAAAGAAAAAGAAATAAGAAAAGAAAAAAGAAATAAGTGACATAAACAAGCCGTGATAGTTCATTGTCCCGGTGCTAGCCATTAATTCATATTGAACTCAGGTAATATACTCGAGCAACCTCAGTTGGATCCCCGGTGCCGGCAACAATGAAATTGTTAATTTTAAGTGCTGACTTACCACGTGCTCAACGGTGAAGGAAAATACCGCGATGAAACCTGCATATTTACGAAATAATATTAAATAAAAATATTTCGGATATATGTGATTTCCGCCAATCCTCAGTCGGGCCTATGCCCTGATAGCCCCTGTATAGAGGAGGCCTTTGCCCAGCAGTGGGACATGTTCTACAGACTGCTTTACTTTTTACATAAATAAGTTCTATCAGTCTCAAAGAGATATATTTAACCTTAATTAAATATACAATATTTTAACTACATCAAATATGTTCTATATTAAATAGAATATTAATATTCTAATAAATGTTTATTAAAGACGATCTCAATCAAATAGTGTGTGCAAAAAGAGAATATAAAAACCTCTTTAGTGATGCATTTTTTCCTTTGCTGATTTAGACCGCGGCCATATTTGCAACATCTTTCAAATACAAAATTAAACGCCTTCTACAACGAGAATTAAAACCAAGGGGACAAAATTAAACTACATATTTGAATGAACCCATTATTTCTGATTGTATTGGATTATGTGGTGTTTCGGCTTCAGGCTGGTAAAGTCACATTCTCAAATATCAAGCTATTCCCATCAGTTAGAGCTCTTATCTATAAAACAATTCTGAGAAAACTCATGACTTTATTCCTTTCGTTTGATGCTGAATAATTCTCGGATCTTTCTCACTACTTTAACAATTTTATGTTTCGCGTGTTCAACTTAACTTGAACATTGACTTGGGCATCCTTTTTAACGTAAGCGTTATTAACAATGTGTTTTCAATGGTAAGGATGATAGCGTTACTTTGTTTACTTTGTTTATTTAAAAGAAATTGTAGAAGTTTTGCACTAGTTTCATCTTAGAATTGTGATTATGGCAAATAATACTGCCAGTGTTTCCCGGTTCAAAGAAATTTATCGTTGAGAACGTTCTCACAGCGGCCCGGAAAGTAATCTAAAAAAAATAATATTTATTATTTGAAACCAACGCATTTATGAAGACAAGAAACAATTATGAATTAGCGAGAGCATGAAAATTACCACCGGAATAGTTTCATAGAACTCAAAACCTAATCTATGAGGTTTTACGATGGAAAGAGATTAAACAACACAACTTCTATGGGATAAGAATACAAATCGTTTTCAAAGTTAAAGTCAAAATTATCTTTGATCAAATCTTTTTTATTCAGTATATTGAAGCTCTTATTGGACGCAATGGAAACTACCACCGGTTTACTAAACTAGACCTAACCAGAGAAGAATCTGCAAGACATTCTGCAGTCTTTTTTTTAATGCTACAATTATACAAACTTATTTAAGTATGAAATCAGCAGCTTGCTTTCCCAATAGTAGGCCATAGTTCACAAGACGCGTCTCGTTCGGCGTTATGTCATCACGCCAGCGAGCGTAACGCACGCCGGCAACTGGGTGAAGGTCCCAACAGACGCTACATACTAATTATCTGATGCGTCCCCATGGTTTCCTTCCGACAGAGTCTGTGATTACGGGACCCCTAAATTGGACTTTGTATGTGCAAAGATGACATTAAAGGGAAGTTTTGGTGAGAACTGGTAATCGAAGTACGCGGTACAGAATAGCTCTGCCTGATTTGACAGAAACACACGCTGAAGTTAAATAAGAATATTGATATATACAATATACTCTGATCTACAACCGTGGTCTATACTATCTAGCTGGAATAACATTTATACATTATTATTATTATTATACTGGTATATACAATATACTCTGATCGACAACCTTGGTCTATACTATCCAGCTGGAATAACATTTATAAATTATTCCGATCGGCAATTCAACAAATAAAACTTTCTTTGTTTCTTCTTTGGACTCTTCTGTAATTTCGTAATATGTTTGAATAAAAGATTTAAATTTTGACTAATAAAGCAAATGTTAAAAAAAATGTTAGATTGATGAAACTATTTTTTTTTTTTTTTTTTTTTTTTTTTTTTTTCAATATAGAAGCATTCACTTACTTATTGATAGTCAAAAAACTCTACCACCGGTTCGGAAGGTAAGCCACTGACCTGAGAAGAACCGGCGTAAGAAACTCAGCGGGACATTATTTTTTTTTTTTACTTGCCAAAAAAGTTACAAATATGTGTACAATTATTAGACTCCTATTAAACTCCACTTGAAAGAGCCTGGAGCGATCAATTCATTTCCAGAGTGTGTTATCATTCATATAATCACTAATACTATAATAGCCATTAACACACAAACGTTCCTTTACAAGTTTTTTGAATTTAGCAACAGATTCATTTTGAACGTTTTCTGGGATTTTGTTGTAAAAGCGTATACATTGTCCCATAAAAGATTTACTTATTCTACGCAATCTAGTTGAGGGTAGAACTAATTTATGCTTGTTCCTAGTATTTACATCATGCACATTACTAAATTTTGAAAAGTCATTCTTATTTTTGTGGACATACATAACATTAGCAAGTATGTACTGAGAAGCTACAGTCAATATTTTTATTTCTTTAAACAGGTTTCTTAGTGAGTCTTTGGGGCCCAGGTTATAAACCGCTCGAATAGCTCTCTTTTGCAGGATGAAAATAGTATTTATGTCGGCTGAATTTCCCCAAAGTAGAATGCCATAAGACATTATACTGTGGAAATAGCTAAAATATACCAGACGAGCCGTATCCACATCAGTCAACTGTCTAATTTTTTTGACTGCAAAGACTGCTGAGCTAAGTCTACTCGACAGTTTATTAATATGGGGGCCCCACTGCAATTTGGCATCTACGGTTATGCCAAGAAATACAGTCGAGTCAATGAGGTCTAACGCTTCCCCATGTAAAAGTACATCAGTTTTTACACTTTTTACGTTGGGAGTTGTAAATTTAATACATTTCGTTTTTTTACTATTCAACATTAAGTTGTTAGCACTAAACCAATGCACTACAGTGGAGAGAGTATTGTTAACGTCGTCATAATTTGAAGAATGTCGTTTAACTTTAAAAATTAAAGAAGTATCATCAGCAAACAATACTATCTCATGATCATTATTTACAAGATAGGGCAGGTCATTTATGTAGATGAGGAAGAGAAAAGGCCCCAGAATAGATCCCTGTGGAACCCCCATACTTACCAGGGCCCCGGGAGATCTCTTGCCATTCACGTCAACTCTCTGAACACGATAGCTCAAGTACGATGTCAGAAGATTGAGTGCGGCATCTCTTATACCATAGTGGTTTAGTTTCCTGACCAGAGTGTCATGCTGTACACAATCAAATGCTTTAGTTAAGTCACAGAATATACCTAAGGCATCCTGTGACTCTTCCCAGGCTTCAAAAATATTCTTCACAAGCTGGATACCCGCATCTGTTGTTGAGCGACCCCTAGTAAATCCATATTGCTTGTTATGCAGCAATTTATGTGTACTAAAATGGAGTAACATTTGATTCAAAATAATTTTTTCAAAAATTTTACTAAGAGTCGGTAGTACTGAAATAGGTCTAAAATTGCTGGGGTCAGAAGTACTACCAGATTTGAACACCGGAATAATCTTACTATGTTTCATAAGGTCAGGAAACTCGCCACGTTGAATACAAATATTAAAAATAGTTGCTAAGTAAGGTGAGACTACATCAATTATAGAACTGATCACCTTGACAGAGATCCCCCATAGATCAGCAGTTCTTTAATATCTAGAGATTTGAATGTTTTTATGATATCGTTCTTATTAACAGTAGTAAACTTAAAGTTTTCTTTACATTCCATAACATTTTTCTTAAGTAATGATTCGGCAATTGTCGGAGAAGAGAGAAGTGACTTAGTTGTAGAAACAGGAATGTCAGCAAAAAATTTCTCGAAAAAATTGGCAACCTCCTGATTAGATTGAATAGTATTAATACCATCAGTTAAGGTTAAGTCAGAGTTGCGCTTCGTAAGTCTACCCGTTTCACTATTTATTATATTCCACGTCATTTTGATTTTATCAGATGCGCTTTTTATTTTATTTTTAATAAATATTGATTTAGCCAGATAACAAACTTTTTTAAATATTTTAGAATAGGCGCTAACATAAGCTACAAAAGAATTACTGTGATTGAATGTCCTTTCATTATACAGTTCATACAGTCTACGCCTACTCTTATGAATTCCGAAAATTAAAGCCGCAATTCCGACGTGCACGATAGCAAGCTTAGCTGAAAAAAAACAGAACTAGTACTGTCATCAATAAAACAAAATGAACTGTTAATGACTGCACAGGTGTACAAGCAACACAGGCCAACATTTCATGTGCAATAAAACAACATTAAATATGTAAGGACAGGTGTACTGTTATTTTGTCTCGTTCAATTAATAAACAAAAATAAAAAAAGGCCCTTGATGCGCACGCGAGATAAACCTTTAGCCAGTGCGTGCTCAGAAACTGTAATGTCAGAGTGACAATCAAAATTGACGACGCGAGATGTGAAGCGGCATGCGAGCAAGCTTAATCTGTGCATATTAAAACTGGGTACGATGTTACTGAATCAGCATTCGCCAGACGAACCGTCATCTCAAGGAGTTTAAGTTGAAAAGAGGACCATCTTTCAACGCATCGGTCGGCTGTGTTGAAGTTACGATAAACTTTAACAATAACATGATTGAGTAAGCAGTGCCAAACTTAGATTTACTTTAAAAATATGAGATGGATCCCGGATCGATCATTAAGAAAATTTATATTAAGCGAAATTATGTTCTTGCAATATCTCTATGACTCACGGTGTTTATTCATTGTATATTACATAATATTTTTTTTATGTGAAAAGTTGCCAAGCAAGCAGACGGTTCACCTGATGTTAAGTGAATACCGCCGCCCGTGGACATCTGCTACACCCGAGGGTTCCAGATGCGTTGACAACCTTTTGAAAATTGGGCTCCGGCCACCTCACCAGACGAAACGCGAATGTATTCTACTACACTTTACTATACTTCCACTTTACGCCGGTCTTCAGTGAGGTCGTGGTACTTACGAGCCACTCCGTTCGTGCAACAGCCGAGGCTGCTGCGTGGCCCTACCATCGTAAAATAATACTTGACATCTTCATGCCTCATCTTTTTATCGTTTTCTTAAACCGCTGTTACCTGTAACGTAGCAGTTGGAGTAGGTAAAAATTAACGATACACTTTCTCCTCTACAAACATATTTCACTTAGATGAAAGACAGATGTCACATATTCAAACATTCGAAAATTCCTTTTTTTGTATTAGAAGGCAAGCGAGCTCGCGGTTCACATGATGTTAAGTTATAATCGCCTATGGACATTTGCAACACCCGTAACGTTGCAGATGCGTTGACATCTTTTAATAAAATGGGCCCCGGCTACCTCAATCACCAGACGAAAACGCAGAAGTACAGAGAGGTCGTGTTACTTACCCGGACGGACCTGCCCATTTGTGCAACAGCCAAAGCTGTTGCGTGTATACACAGTTATGTATTTTTGTTGCCTTTATCCGTGTAGCAAAATATGCGTTTGACATTTCTGCACTCGTTCCTAGATATATGCCAAGCATCTGATGACAGATCGACTCTATCGAGCGCACAAACAGACTTGCCAATTCATTTATTGTAATTTATTCTCTTGAACGCTCTGGGTAATGAATGAAATTCTAAACAGTTTCGTTGACATAATATGACTGTCTAACAGTCGAGGATTTTTTTTAAATAGCGCGCAACTAAAGTCTGATATATAATAGCTCATGCGCCAAGTTCAGAAGTAAGGATTTATTCGTCCAAGGGGACTATCAAAATCGTCATTCGATATTCATCATGCCATTTCTTGTGCGTGTCTTTCTAGTTTTGACTAACACTCATATATTGCATAAATATCTCTTTATTTAACACTGTATAATACATACCAAGATCGGTCAAGTCCCCTAGAATTAAGGTAACGATAACAGTGTCTTGTATTAACTGATGTTTGTGCTTTCAGTCCCGAGACTATTAAAGCTTCATCTGATGCATCGATAACAGTACAGCATTTGTTGCAGAATTACTGCTCTTCATCTAGCCTGTCGTAAGCAATATTTCAAATTCTAATAAAACCAGTCCCATTCCGCGGCCAATTGAAATTCCGCGACTGTCTCGAGGCACCTGGCCATCCTTCGGTGAGGTCCTGTGAGGCCGGCCGGCCGGAAAATATAACAGGCCTCATATCATTACGAAACACACCGTTGCGTTGACTCGCATTTTGTGACATTGTATGATATGTTAATCAAAGGCGTTCAATTTTTGAAGTTATACTTATTTTGGCACGTGAGGGGAAAGATTATGAGAGTAAATATTTACGATTTACGTGCACATACATTAAAAGTAATACCAAGAAGATAGTCTATAAATCTAGCATTAGTGATGTGTCAAACGTCAATAATGTGTGAATGCCACAAAACATTCAAAATGAAATATTGTTTTCTGGAGCCGTTTTTATTTTGTTACATCAAAGAAGTGTAACTTCTTACGTGCGTACAAAAGTACACACACACACACACACAATTCGTTTTAAATCATATCGACCTAATTATTCTTCTTTGCTCTATCCAACAACAGCGATAGTAACAAACAAATAAGAACACATAAGTTTAAAAATAGGAGAAGGTAAAAAATGTTTTTCAATGAATGTTCGAAATTCAATCAAGTGGCATATAAGAAGTATAACAGTAATAATTGACCCAGAAGATTTTTCGAGAACAGGTTCGATTTTTTATTTAATACACTTTATTCTGAAAAGGTTTAATATACCTACATATTGTGAGCTGACATTGGAGTCCTCTTAGACGTGAGGGAATAAACTGCAAAATTATAATATAAACTAGCGATCCGCCCCGGCATCGCACGAGTACAATGTATTCTACGTATAAACCATCCTCTTGAATCACTCTAGCTAGTAAAAAAAAACCGCATCAAGATCCGTTACATAGTTTATAGATCTAAGCATACGTAGGGACAGACAGACAGCAGGACGACTTTGTTTTATAATTTGTAGTGATGTTTGACTAGCTTATAAGCAGTCTACCTTATACTAATAATCAAATATAAATTGTTTCGTGTTCACAGTTAGCAACGGTCGCCGTGTGCGCATTGGCAGGCGCCGCACCACCGGCCTCTCAGTTCTACCAGCAGGCGTCACAAATCCAGCAAATCAACCCGTGAGTTCTGTTTACGTTTTCCACGCGTACTGGAAAAAGTGTTAATATGTTTCATTCTTTTTTTTTTATGTGAAAAGTTGCCGAACGAGCAGACGGTTCACCTGATGTTAAATGAATACCGCCGCCCATTGACATCAGCTGCTATACCCGAGGGTTCCAGATGCGTTGACAACCTTTTGAAAATTGGGCTCCGGCCACCTCAGTCACCAGACGAAACGCGAAAGTATTATACTTCCACTTTACGCCGGTCTTCTATGAGATCGTGGTACTTACCCGGAAGTGCCTGCCCATTCGTGCAACAGCCGAGGCTGCTGCGTGGCCCTACCATCGTGAAAATTCGTAAAAAACATTCGTATAAAACCGGAAACAAAAAAATATATAGTACGTACTAAAGTAAACCTGTTGAAATTTTATGATAAAGTCAAAGTATCCTATAAAAGTTAATATAATAAGTATAGTAGTAAGTTCATATTTCAATATTTGACATTTGAAACATTGAATTTTCTTGAAGGTGCAAGATCGGGCATGTGATAGAATATTAAAGAAAACAGCAATTATAGTAAAGCTAAATAGTTTGAATCATAACCATTTGAAAATATAGATAGTTATTATAAACTAGCATGCAAACAAATGTAGTACTTGAGTAGAGGATTCAATCCCGGTCGATTTTTCTAATCCCGGGATTTCAGGATTTTCACTACTTATTTAAAATGTATCAATGCCGAAAATCCCGGGATTCATTAAATTTGACTCTGAAAATTTCAGAACTAAAATATGACCGGGATCCCGAGATCAGGAATCCATGGATCGAATCCTCTATACTTGAGTCACTTAACTATTAGCCAAATGAAAAAGTTGCACCCATTACACAGTTATCGTTCATTCCACGTCCCTACAACAAACTTTTTTCCGTTTCAGATTAGACTACTATTTGGACAACGAGGAGGTGACAAATTTCTACAATCATGGCCAACAGAAACAAGGTAATTTTTTTTTATGAGAAGAGTTGCCAAGGAACTTCCGCCCATAGACAACTACAACAGCCGAAGTGTTGCAAATGAGTTTGCCAAGGGGCCTCGTCTGCCTATATCAACAGATGAAACAAAAAAGCATAACGATACCAATTTACGCTGGTCTTATGTGATGCCGTGATACTTCCCAGGGCGCCGTTACATTTAAATAACACATAAAAGACATGAGAAACAATATTTAAGGCTGACCGTGGTAGCTAACATCTCGAAGTTGAGAGCAAGAGCCAGCACAAGAGTCTAAATTCTTATATCGGCAACAAAGAAAGCAACGTTAAGAAAATTGCATTTCCTATTTCTTAAGTGCAAAACTAAGTATCGCAAACTAGTCTAGCGAAAAATAACTGACCACTTTAAAGTAAACGTGAACGTCAGTTGAAGGTGAATAACTATGTACAAAGTAGAAAAAGCTTATCGTTGTCTTATTAACACAGTGATTACTTTATCAGGTAATTTGGCATCAAACGGAGCACCAGCCCGGCTGGAGACCTTGGAGCCGGACAGCGAAGTGGAACTGATCCCGGGAGCTCAGCAACCTCAACCTCCGCAACAGGTAAATCGACCTCGAATAAAAAGAACTAGAAAGAAGAAAAAGAAACTACTCGCAATATGATCACACGCTGTCTAGGGTTCTTCTTCTTCTTCTTTGATTAATGGCTTCTCTTAAAAGAATTCTGCCAATGTCATGTCAATCATGGGAGTCACACTTATTAATGAGTTACAAAAAAAAAAACGGTTTGTGTGATACTTCCGAATCTACAACTGTCTAGGGTTGATGCCGTTGGTATAGATCGCGCTTGTGAATGTCCAATCGCATTGCCGTGAAAACATCGACGAGTGCGAATAAAAATTAAGGTAGTCAGAGAAAAATTCAAAAATCCTTCCAAGCAATTAATCTGAAATGCATAATATAATGTGTTCGGTAGTACATTGACCTAAACGTGAGAAAATTGCTGTTTCACTCCGTTGACATACAAAAACAACAAAATAGGTACATTCGTAACTGGTAAAATAAACCTAGTTATTTCTTACAAATTTATTAACTTTTTTTAAAATTGTGTCCCGAATATAATAAAAATAAATATGAAAAAATTATTCTGTTTCCGCATATGATTAAAGGTAACGCCATCTATGGGTGTATCTTGGAAACTGTGTCTCTTTCTGAACTCATAATCAAACACGGTGAGATATATGTTATATATGTTCCCAACATTATAAAAGCATAAGCTATGGAAAGCAGCAAAAGTAAACAAATATACCTAGGTTATAAAATAATAATTTGAAAAAAAAAAACTTTTTTAAAATGTGGAATTTAAAGCATTTTTATAGTTACAAGCCTATTCGCAAATTCTGAGCTAGATGTCTCTGTACAATAACATTACTTTAGAAAGATAAACTGTTTCGCTGAATTTGCAAGCGTGCATTTAGAGTGCTGGGATAAAATCTCGATTCCATCAAATATCTCTGTAAGAAAACATCATATCGTTCCTTTTTTTTGTGTTATTTAGTGAAAGTAGAACTCGCATTTTACGTATTAGCAAGGCTTAAACCAATATATTTTACAAACAATTTAAATTAAAACTGCTTAAGCTACTTGAACTTAAAAGAAATTAATTTATTTTTGTAGTAAAACAAACTTAAATAAGTATTTGTTATTGATTCCATTTTTCTTTTTAATTGTTCTTTATTATAATTTCAGAATCCTGTTGCTCCTAACATTCCCGGGCTTCTTCCTGGTCAAAGGGTGTTCATAGTCCACATGCCTGTTCCCGGTTACAGGTAACAATTAAAAATGCTTATGTTCTCATCCGAACATAGACAAATTGTATAACAAACTATAAAAGTAAAGATTAAAGTAAGAACTATAGCTGCCCCACTGCTGGGCAAAGTCCTCATATAAAAACAATATTTTTCGATCCCTACGGTTAATGTCAAAGCTCATGTATGAATACTTCGCTTATAATTGCAGGCCGGGCACTATAGGAGGCTACCAGCCCGTCTACATCGTCGCCGCTGGCCCGCAGGATAACCCGTACGCCTCTAACGGTAGGCCTATCCACTTCCAGTTTACACGCATTGACTTAAAATGGCGAACTCTGAACTTTGCCAACGTTGTGTATATCACCACCTTCAAAAAGAAATAATTATTCAGTTTAACAAACAATAAATAAACAATCTTGAACACAACAAAGTGGAAACAAGTCTTTTTTTGTCTTAGATTACTCAAAAACTATTATACCAGGAGTACGAAAAATATTCTTGTTGAATGCGGTGACTACCTATAATTGAGAGTACATGTAACTTGTTGCCATAAAATTTTTGTTTAATTAACTCTGTATAAATGTAACATTATTGGTAATCCAAAATAAATAAACAAAATGGCTTCCAACTTCACTCTCAACAATGATTTTCGGTAATGCTGTATACCTTTTTTTTGGTATCGGAGAGGAAATCTTCAAAAGTTTGATGTCATCTTACATGACAGGATTATGTGGGGTTCGTACCCACTAAAACCCCCTCGGTGGCCCCCTTCTGTACGTTTGGAGGGACCCCGGCATTTCCTATGGAACCCACCGGTGTCCCTCGGTACTGGGCGTGAGCACGCCTCGGAGAAGGGTTAAGCCTTCCCCGATTCCCTCGCCATCTTGCAACAGCTCGAGGCCACTTAGAGCTGCTGCCAATCCGTGTTCCCTTTTAGTCGCCTTTTACGAAAGGCAGGAGACCTTAGTCTTATTCTATGAGCCCGTAACTACAGGGCTGACGGGGCAGCACGTCTGCCCCTGCCGCCTGGCGCCGCCGTCTCCGAGCGGGGTCGGCCCTCTCCCTTTCCCGTTCGGCGACCTCCTGGAGCATAACAGCTTTACAGAAAGAGACCAGTGCCTGTCAAGCAGAATTTTCTGCCACCCCAGCGGCCACAGCAACTGGTGGAGAAAGTTTCTCCCCGATACTCCGGACCAGGATCCGTCGTTCGGACTCCCACGCAGGGCACTCAGCGAGCGTATGTTGCGCGGAGTCCCGATCCGTCCACAGCGGTGACATTTCGCCGTCGGTTCGCGTCCAATTCTATTTAGTTACTCACCAAAGCAACCGTGGCCGGTGAGTACCTGCTTCAGCCGAAAGGTGACGTGCGCATACTCCGTTGCACTTAGCCAGGCTGTCGAAGCTCGGCAGGAGCGCGCTTACAACTCGCTGGCGCAGGTTTCGTGGCTCTTCCAGCCGCTCACGCCAAACCTCCAGCGCGCGTTTTAGCTCCTGCTTCAGCACCTCTCTCGCATCCAGGGGCTCGGTTTCCTCCCGCGAATGACGGAGGCGAGTATAAACTCGCGCATCCATCTCTGCCAGGGTGTCCATTGGAGGAAACCGAGCTAAGATAATGAACGCCTGTACACCTGAGAATTGAATTGGGATTTATAACGTGGGACTTTATGTTACATTGCCAGGCTTCCAGAACACTGTTCTGCTGGACCCGTCAGGACAAGTAGTTTCTCCAGGAAGGCGTGGACCTCTGTTGCTCGGAGCGCCCCTCTCATATAGACCCGTGGACTTGATCTACCAAAACCCAGTTGGAGCTTACCAGTAAGTTTCTTTGGTTGTATACTGAGACATTCAACAACCACGTGGTCCTTTTTATGCGTTCGTAACTTATCTAGACAAGGTAAAAGTAAAATAAAGTAACAGCCTATATATTTTCTATTTCTGAGCAAAGGCCTATCTAGAGAGTGCATAGTCTATCATGTGACTAATGCACATAAAGATTAGACGCATAGACGCGATTGACAGACTTCACATAAATAATTTGTGGTATGGCCGCACAGAAGACTATTTTCCTTTGATTACTTATTTATTTTTAATTATTACGAAAGGTTTGCTGGCAGAGACTGAAGTGGAAATGTTTAGGGTTAAGCTCGCCTTAATGTACAAAATTTTGTAATCCTTTATTTGTAACTGTATTTTTTGTTTTTTTGTGTACAATAAAGAATAAGACCGCAGCAGCTTCTGCTGTTGCAATAAGGGGCAGGATTGTCCTGGTAAGATTGTCCACGGCCCTACAGAAGACTAAGACTGAAGTGGAAATGCTTTATATAACTTACACATCTAATATATAAAATTCTCGTGTCACGGTTTTTGTCATTGAACTCCTCCGAAACGGCTTGACCGATTTTCGTGAAATTTTGTGTGCATGTCGGCCAGGGTGGAGCCGACGCTGAAGCTCAGCAACGGCCCTCGAGTCAAATTTACTATAATGAAAAATCTAAATGAAGTGGGAAAATTAATTTAAAATTGCAGAAACATTCAATCTCTCTTATTTCAGAAGTCAATCAGGACAGGCTCAGGGTAGAGGAAGTTTCACTTCGCAAGATGCCTTACAAGCGCAGCGTACTACATCTGGAGCCAACTCTGGTATATTTACAACTTCTTACTTAGTTTAACTGCATCATTCATTCACTTCTGTTCAATCGAAGTGTTGTTTGTTATGGTATTAAACTATTCACCGAAAGTTGCCATATTCATACAGGTGTTAAATAATTACATAAAGTTGTGATTGCTTAAGCTTTCTCGACAACACAGTGCGTGGGTCCGAAATTAAAGAATAAAGGTGTGATTTCTGAAACTAAGTACCGATTTTGACGAACTTAAAAATATTATTGCAGAAGCCAATTCGAGCAATTCCGAAAAACCGGACCGAGAGTCCGAAAATCTGAAGACCAAAGAGAATCTAGAAGAACCAAGAAGGAACGCGAGACCAATACCTTCTATAGCTTCTAAGAACACAGCGTAGTCAGCGATCTTGAATAGTTGATTATTGGGTCATCGATATATTATTGCCAATCGATTTTGTACACGGACTTTTAAAGCATATTTAATTTTGCCTCTATCATTTTTTTCAACGGCCAGTGTTGTTAATATTTTGCAAAATAATAAGCGAAGAAATGTGTACATTACATGTACATTAAATTAGAACATGAAAGAAAAACAGACTGTATGGAATCAATTCTTTCCATCTTATATTTATCCGTTTTTCGATTCTAATAATGTCCGATTATAATTTTGTGAGATTTTTGTACCTGAATAAAAGGGATGTAGAAAATATAAACCAATTTTAAGTCCTCGTGTATCTTTTTATTTTACGAAAATCTAATGCCTCGCCCTTGCCTCTTTGACATAGTAGTTAGACCGTTAATAAGGAAAAGACAACGCACTATATTATCGTTCTGACTCTTAGAAGTTCCTCCTATACATTATATTTACAAGGGTTGCACTAAAGTGCTAGATACAAATATTATTTGAATACAATACTTTATGCTTTGACATCTATCTATGTTAAGTCATGTTTCGATCAAACATAGAATCAAACACGCTAAGAAAGTAGGTAAAGGGCTTGGCGTCGATAGTCACCAAGAGTCAAACAGTATATCATACATTTTAATTTACATGTTAATTTCTTGTATTTACGCGATTACACATTATAAATGAAACAAATTTTACGGATTTATCGCGTTTATGGGGCAAAAAGGTTCTCGAGTGGAGACCACGTGACGGCAAGCGCAGCGTAGGAAGGCACAAGGTGGACGGACGACCTAGGCAAGATCGCAGGGACGCGTTGGATGCAGGCCGCTAATGACCGGTCGAGGTGAAGGTCAATGGGGGAGGCCTATATTCAGCAGTGGACGTCCTACGGCTTATATGATGATGATGATGATCGCATTTATTTTTAATTTTAATTCCCAACGTTTCGAACCCTTTACAGCGTTCATGGTCACGGGACGGGGATAAATCCGTAAAATTAGTTTCATTTATAGTATGTAATACAATTTTAAGTTGATGTAACGATTCGCACAATGGTTTGGAAATGAAGACTGATAAAATCTGCATTCAATTGTCTTGATTCTTCGATATCCGACAGGAAATTGTCACGTAGAACAGAAAAACAGTAAGTGCATGACAGCACCGCGATATCCCGCATATCCCGACATAATTACTTGTATGTTTGATCCATCGCCATGTTGTTAGTTTGATACCTAGACCGTACAAGAACATGATTTTTTTTTTAAGTTTAGTATAGTTTTCAAGTTTTTGCAAGTACGTAGTTTGTTTCCCCAAAAAAAAAATTTGATTAAATATCACAGTAATCACATGAAATTTTAGAAAACTATCCTGAACCTCTGGAAACAAATTTGTTCATTGTGCACATGTGACTTACAAAGCCCTAATTAGTGTTAAACCCTCAAAATGTAGGGTACAAACACAGGGCGCGCAATCCAATAACAAGTATTGAAGGTGCATTTTTTAAAAATGACAAAAAGGCTCAGCATGTCAACGAAATTGATCTATTTGTGACACAATCCCTTCAGTTACCTGAGTGACATGCATACCCACTCATCCTATAGCTTGGGGACCTAGGCAAAATATGGGATAGGGGACGTCACCCTGATATATTTTTTATGTGAGAAGGTGGCAAGCGAGCTGGAGGTACACCTGATGTTTAGTGATAACCGCCGCCCATGGATATTTGCAACACCCGTAGGGTTGCACACATATACGTAACGCCGGTCTCATGTAAGGTCGTGGTACCTACCCTGTCGGTATTGTCCATACGTGTAACAGCCGAAGTTGTTGCGTGATATAAAAAATAAATAAATACACATTTTTACACAGCGTTCTCTAGTCCCAAACTAAGCAACACTTGCACTATGGGTACTAGATAACTGATAAACATACTGAAACATACTTTCCTTTTGTAAATAAAAACATATTATACATATATAACACCCAGACACTAGATCTCATCACACAATATTCTTCCAGTAGTGGGGACCGAACCCACACCCTCTGTCGCAGGAGGCAGGTACACTACACTCAATAAACAAGACATCTTTGATTTCTGACGTTGTATCGACGCTGTCCATATTGTTGTGCTTGAGCTGCACAAAATCTCACGCATAAGCAAATTGGCGAACGGTTGCGTTATGTGGAGTGACAGCGCGCCAATGCGACTAGCCCGTTCGCCTTTCCAGCCCGGTTGTTTTGTGCGGAGTGCACTGCCCTTTGCAACAGCGTCGGAACAACATCCGCGATTTCGTCTACACACAAGCGAACGAACATAAACGAACGAGGCTTCACCGTTCGGCGCAAACAGACAACACAGTAAATATGCAGTGACAGCAACGCTGGTGTCGATCATGATATGAGTGCTACGAATCGATTTGTTTTAATGATGCCAATACTATATATGGAAGTTTGTGTGTAAATCTGTTTGTCCCCTCTTTACGTCATACCAGCCAAAAGAATTGCATGAATCAAACTAGAATCCGGAAGACGCAGATTCAAACCCTCCTTTAGTGCTAGTCAAAAACCCTCGAAAATATTTGGGACGGTTTTTGACTAGCATTAAAAAAAAGTTTGATTTTTCAAAAATGCATTGTAAAAATGTAATTTCAGAAAGTGTGATTGCTATAAAGTAATCACATTAGATAACGCAAAGTACTGCTACAAATGCAGTTAAAACAAAGCCGATAAGACGACAAGTAAAGTAGTCATCTCGCACTAGACGATAGTAAAAATTTTAAATCAAAATGTTAATAATGTAAATAATAATGTGTAAAGAGGAACGGTATTATATTCGTGAGAATCTAAAAACAGATTATATGAATTATACAAATGTAGCTATGATGTTATGATTAAGGAACTCTACGACATGTCAGCTCTAAATGGACTACTACAAGGGTACTACTAACAGGTACACTACGGTGTCGTTGGAGACTTGGTAGAACATAGTGATAATTCCAAACCAATGGTGACTAAGCTTGTTGACTCAAATGACTAATACATCAACAATATCGTATTCCAGATTCGAATCCCGATTTCAACGGTAGGTAGCTGCCATTCAGAGTAACGTGTAAACATGACCTTGCTATGCTTGCACAATTTCTTAAATTAATAAATAACAACTAATAAATTATATGTAGAAAAAAAATTACGAAAAGTCTCGCCGCTGCAGGAATTGTATCCAAGGCTTCCGAATTCAGGAGTATCATCTTAATTGCAGAGATTAGCACTAAAAAAAAATAGTTTCAAATAGTATCTAATGAAGTTTTACAGTTCAACGGACATTACGGGAAAAGAGCAGACAATAAAAAAATAATAAACAAGTAGAACATAATTTAAAAAAGAAGGTTTATATGTATAAGACACGGCACCCGTGCGAAGCCGGGCGGGTCGCTATTAATCTAATAAAGAGAGAATTTGTGTCCAATCAAAATTGAATTGAGAATAATTAACACATAAATTAAAATGACAATAGTTGCCGCGATAATTAGAGTTATCAAAACTGCACATGCAATTACAGATGATAACCTCAAATCTAAATGGCACCTACTTTCACCGGCATCGGCTAATTGTTGCGAGTTATACCGAAGATATGTGCGCAGAAAATATTTTTTAACATAACAACAGTTACAGATTTTATGGCTTAACTGACTCAGACATAAGAATTTATCTGAACATTGTACCCTCATACTAAATAACCGTGATTATGATTTATGAAGACGATACAGAATATCAATATAGTACCTTATTATATAATGCGTTACATTACTAATAATAATCATTAAATTACAAATAAATAAAAATCACAGTGCTAATTCTATGCTGCTTATTCTATATGAAACCGTATTTGGTTTATTGGTTATTATAAAGATGCCCAAATCGATGGCAAGAAAGTCTTGATAAGATCAGTGATGTTTTTTTTTTTGGTTGTGAAGGGCATCCCCCTTTTAAAGTGTCTCTTTCGGTGCAAAATCGTTGGCAAATTATCCGCGAAAAGATTAATTCATTAATGCCTTTATGATGTAAACAAATCATCATATGGATGGAGTTACGTGATTATTGTTAAATTCGAGATGAAAATTTGCCTACTTCCGATGTTGTATTAATAATTATAATCAGGAACCAATGACAAGCATTTGTTGAGTCGAGACGCCTAATCAGTAGTGATCTATAAGCCGCTACCGTTACGATCGAATGCCCAGCCGTAAATGGTCGCTAACGGGGAATTTTCCCGTGCGATCGGTAGACGCGATAAAATATACGGGACCCAACAAACATGCATTTGGTAAAGTCATTAGAGAATTGTCGACTCTCGTCCTTACAATATAAAGACTAATGGGAAAATACACGACGGCATTGTTAACAATGTTGCCGTCAACAGCTATTAGGTTACGATCTGCAAATTGGAGAATTTACGTCCAAGTCCGCAAAGGCGGTAACTAAATGCTGCTAAACTGACATGGGCCGCATTTGATGGTGCTGCCATAAATTTCCCGTTACTAATGTGAGGGTCTACTGAGTAATTGCGTTTGATTATCACAAAGATTTATACGAGGATATTAAATTTTATCGACATCAAAACCACGTTTGCAAAGCTATGGTTATGACTAAGTTTAAATGCGTTAAAAGATTGCTATTATCATTGTACACTGACAATATGAATTCGTCCTATTTATTGTTAAAGATCAACAATTGCCATCCTAAAAGAAAAGGGGCTTCTAAATAACTATCCCTACATCTATTTCACACCAGTCTCCTTTAAGGCCAGCTAACCCTGCCAAGCTACATGTAAGTAAGTACACACGACGCAGCCAACTAGTCAGGGGTGTTACGTTTCCGGACAGTGTCACTGAAATATGGTGTTGTAATAATAAAGTGCGGATGTTGTTGACATATATTTAACGCTTATACTTTCATTGAAGGCATCTGAGGAACTGCAGATGCATTGACAACCTATAAAAAAAAGTTGCCTTCGGTTCCCTCACTCACCAGACGGAACGCGCAAGTATAAAACAAGGTTTTTAATCAAACCCAAATAAACCTCGTTACACCCTGACCGAATGAAAATTTGCGTTGCGCCTTTGTAACACAATTAGACCTACACCAGATGAATATGAATATAATAAAAATACAAAGCTTATCCATTTCTTGACGAAAATTGAAAAGATTAATAAACATTCTCTGGTTATGATGAATGAGCAAAGGTTTGTAAAGTCTCCAATATACGTTGATAACATATCAACAGTTAATATTATAGATAACCAAAGTGTAAAGTGTGTAAGTGTGCCTAAGCTGATTATAACCCGCCGTACACTAGCTGAAATTATAATACTAAATCTGCTCATTCATACTTTAATGATGGATGCATTTGTGGGTCACGTATTTCCTAATTTGTTTTGTTCTAATCGCATTTACCTTTTTACGATCGATATCATTATGTTTGAACATCTTTAAAGCATGAGCCTTAAACGTGCTAAGTTTCTCGACTGATTTAGCTTCTCATATGCTTTCGAATTTCTTGTTTGATTTTGTTAATCCACGAAAGTGAAAGATTTTCAGTATTCGATTTTAATAATAATTTTAAATGTGATAAAATATTTAAAATTCCTTTCCTGACAGCAACTCAGGATGTATCATAGATATCAGATACCAGTGCTTTAATTTAAATAATTAACTTGGTTGCCATGACAATGCCGTGAAGTGATTCTTAACAACCGAATTAATCATGTCGCTTTTTGAGGGTCGGTGAGCGCGCGCATCGTAAAAATTTTACTCTCATAGTTTTTTCCAAGCCCGCCAAAATAAGTATAACTTCAAAAATAATAAATAATTGGAATACAACTGGGAATTGTTCTTGCACTCCGGCTGTCCAAAAACTGCTACAAGTCATATTTCCCCAAACAAGACTTTTTAGGTAATAGTTAGACGGTTTTGTAGTGCCCACAGTATGGGAAACTGCACTGATAAAAGTCCGGTTCCTGCAGTCTTCTTGCATGTTCTTTTACTATTACAATGGTATGCATTCCAAGAAGTTTTTGCTTACTAATGGTGATCATTTTCATCATAAAATACAAAAAACTAATTAATTTATATTGCGAAAATCGTGGCATGAACGATTTACTGAAATAGAACCTATGCTTATCTCGAGCTTTGATACGTGTTTTTAAATTTGATTAGAAACATGTTATTGTAAACATTAAAACTGTAAAATTCTTTATATCTGTGACTCATACCAAATAAAGAAAATGGGGACGAAAATATTGCGATTCGTTCTGAACAATTGGCAAAGCAATCTACATGAATATAAGTTTCTCTAAAGTCATTAGTAACCCCAAAATAAAAGCAAACGGGTTTCCATAAATTTAGACATCCCAAGCCCACGCTTATCTTATTAGTTTTTGACAATCAAATTTTTACTGCCGTTCCTTCGTGCTTTCTTTTTGTCCCTTCCAGCAGAAGCCACTTTAATAAGGAAATTTGAGATTACTTTCTTTTTACTTGATTCCTCTGAACATTTTAAAAACTTTCGAAGATGCAAATAAATAAAATATCACGATAAGTGCTACTTGTGCCTGTATTACACAAAATATCGCGTCTTAACCAGAGGTCGAATTGACAGAGATAGAAAATATCATTCACTTTTAAAGAGCTAGTTGAGACCAAACCTGTTAAACATCTGGCACCTGATTTATCGTTCGCATGTGATGAGAAATTTTATTTGGTTGATGGAAATGAACATTTTTTAAAAGTCAGGTAGATAAGATGGAGATGGAGGATGGCGCAAACGTAAGGTATTACATTGGCTCAACTATTGGTGTTAGAGGCTAATTAAATAAAAAAACAATACTGTTAAGGGAAAAACCCGTCAAAAGTAGTAAGTTTCTTACATATACATTCTATAGATCTGCAGATTCTTGTATCATGAAAAAAAAAAGGCTCATAGTATGTGTTGAAATGAAAATGTTATAAAGTAACATGTCAACTATAAATGAAACGTATGGTCTGTCATAATTCTGTAATGTCATACGCTCTCCAAATTCTAAAAGGCCAGAAACAACCAAAACGATACAAAACCCACTGACCGAATTTCGCTTCTCGTTGCATGCACCGCGTGACCTTGATACTGCATCATTATGTTAACATCAATCACCTGTTCTGATTGATAGCTGTAAATGTGATTGAAACAACTAAATGCTACACGCAAGGACTTCCCACCGCCGAGACTAATGAAAAGCGACTCTATTCGCACAAGTTAGAGAACGGAGAAAGCGCAACAAAAAGCCGACGCGCACGGAGGAAGGTCTGTTGTTGACAGTATAAAAGTGACGCCAAACCAGTTTTAACGGACCCGTTAGGCTGCTAAACAAGTACGTGTAACGCGAACAATAAAGGTCGTGACACGGTGCCAAGGGGCCACGACTGTTTGGCGACGAACAGTGGTGACTCGCCGGAATTAAGACGCGAGTGCTTTCCAAACGAAAGGCGCCGGCCGCCGCAATCATCCGGGAATCGGCGGCGGGGCAATTATGATCGCTTTTTGCCCGAGACCCGTTATGTCGGCTTAGGCGCGGTGCAAAAACGCAGCGGGCGCAGTATACGGGCACACGTCGCGTCGGCCGCACGCCGCCCAGCCAGCAACATGTCGCCGCGAGCGTTGGTAGCACTGGTCGCTATAGCCTGCGTCTGCCAGGCAGCGGCGTTGCCGGTCAGGCGAACGCTCAACTTCAACATGTTCGTACTCAAGCCCAAGGAGGGAGCTCCGGAGCGCACCGTACTCACCACCGACGGCGTTTCGAGGTTCGGCCCGATCATCGAGTACCTGGTGCAGCGAGTCCAGGGGCTGATGTCGGTGAGGAAGCCGCCGGACCAGCTGGGCAGCTTCCAGCCCCTGCCGGAGGTGGCCAACGCAGCCGAGAACGAGGTGGACGCCGTCCAAGAGTCGAGGATGCCCGGGATCGTGGTGCGACCGTCGCTAACGAAGCCCGGCACCTACGAGGTGGAGATCGACGTGGTGGTCGACGACGCACAACCGCTTGGCCTGAAAAAGGACTGACCAGATGTTGGAGGCGTTTCCGTGATACAAAGCTAAATTTCATTATGATACTCCTAGTTTTATATGATTCTTAATTTATTTATTTATTCTTGCCATAGTGTTTAAGTTTGATTTTGTATATCCATTAAGTGTAATCGAATATTTGATATTTGTATAGAATATGTAATAGAAATTAAAGCTAAAAATAAGATTTTTAGTTTGTTGTCTAGCAAAAATATTATCATTTGTGTTTTGTTTACTACTCATTATTGTTAATTTATAAACTATAATAAAAGTCAAAGAAAATAAAAGTCCTTTCAAAACAACTTTTAACTTTAAAGGATGTAATACTAAACAACGTCAACTAGACTATTCCACAAACTTTCACATCCTTTTGGCTTCTTATTGAGGTATCCAATTCAGATTGATTTATTCATCGTGCCAAAACAAGTGTCCTGTCTTATGGGATCTCGGTCAATATGATGATCTAGCACTTAAAATTATGGTAGGGTAAAAGTTACTCTTTTATAACCAAATAAAATACATTATCGAGAAATAAGTTGTGGCGACGATCTAAAAGTTTATTAATTTTTAAATAACAAAAACCGTCTTCAAAAACACCCAGAACCTAAAGAGCAAACAATAATTTGTTACATTTTCATATAATTTCTTACCCAAACATATAACTAAAACTTAACAACCAATTATTTATTATGTACAACTTCTTAATTTTTAATCACCTCGGTCACTTTGTTCAACTTATTGTTTACATAACTAATTGGATGTCTCGTATGGTCACTTTTGCCAAATAACAACAACACGATTAAATTGTTAAGAAAGTTGAGAAACATTTTTTTTTTTTCATTTCAGTTTTGATTCATGGATAAAATTTGACCTTAGATCGAATTAAATAAAATAAAAAAATGATGCTTCAACATAAAACATGCTATAATTTTGGATATCAACATACGTTCTGTCACACTGCAATAAAGAAAATGTTAATAAAAAATGAGCTAATATACTTTTGGTTGTTGTAATGTAACGTAATTTTTTTTTTCACATAAAAAAACGCGTCTCTCAGAAAGGACTATCTGAATATTAATTCGGCCAACTTTAAATACATCTGAGGCATAGGCCAGGAAACAACCGGCCCATAAAAATATCAAATAACCCTGCTTTATATACGATGTTCTTTATTTGTAAACTTTCTCGCAAGCGAACTGTCAATCTGCTGCAACGTAACTGATGGTACCGAAGCAAAAAAGCCCCCAGTCGAAGATTTATTTAAGGGAATCTTTCCTCGTGCATTAAAGGTAAGGGCCGATCTAGGAAGTCTCTCCCGTAACGGTAAGGCGGCGGGGCGCGGCAAGATGCCGTCGCAAATTACGACGTGGTTTTACCAGCCGCAGTAATTGACCGGTCCAACATGATTGCAGTAACTAACGACATGGGAATGACAGCGATGATCGCGGTAGAAATACCTCTTATTCAATAAGTGAGTGATAAGTGTGAATAGCTGAGCTGTTGTATACAATCTGAAGTCACTCACATCAGCCCGGATTCCATTCAAGAGATACTAGCTAGAATCTCTACTACAAAAAAACAATTAATATTAATATACCGTTTCAAAAAACATTTACACTTGAAACGGTACATTGTGTGATTTAACTTGAAATGATGAAAAAGTCATGAAAAAATTCTAAGAAATTATGTTAATAAACCTTTAACATTTATATAATATTATTAAACCTTTTAGTGGGTACCATGATGTAGGTAAAAAAAGATACAGATTTTCAAATGTAACTGAAATTTGATTTTCATTCGATAGAGCTAAACAAACACATTCTTTACTTTAAGGTTTGTTTGGTGGTTAAACTAAAGTCAATGATCAAAAAGTTTTTGCATATCATCTGGTGATTTGACGCTAGTCCCTTCCTATAATTTCGTAAACAAAAAAAACACTGAAATTAACAGGCAATTCACTTCATGAAGGTACTAGAACCCACGAGTTCAGAGATTAGAGAATATCTGTGTTACCGTAGAGTAAGACAGGGTGGTAAGTTTTATGAATATGGGCACTATGGTTGCCCCTTACATTCTTGAAATGGCAATTTTCTATTTCGACATCCTTTTGCTCGAATTTTTTTTAATTTTTTTATTGTGAGAAAGTGGTAAACGAGCTGGCGGTTCACCTGATGTAAGTAATAACCGCCGCACATGGACATATGCAACACCCGAAAGGTTGCAAATACGTTGCCACCTTTAAATGAAGTGGGCCCCGGCTACCTCACTCAACAGGCGAAACGTAGAAGTGTAACACTTCTACTTTACGCCGGTTTTGTGTGAGGTCGTGGTACTTACCCGGACGGACCTGTCCATTCGTGCAACATTGAAGAATGTTGCGTGGCCCTACCACAGTTAAATTTACAAGACTAGCCGTAAAATTCCGAAAAATCAGACAATTTCCTTCAAACCTAATGCCACAGTCTTGCTTTTATGACGATCAAACATCACAAAATCCTCTCCAGCCGAAACGTTTTATCAAATCCACCCAAGGAATTACTGGAACACCAATTTCTGCCACCATTGTTGTGTAAGTCTGAGATGTTTATCGCCCTCATCATATCCGGAGTTTGGAAGAGCGACTACACGTAGACCTCCAAAGCAAACACAATAGTTCGCCCTCGCCTCCGAGCACGGCGAGACCAACACAACGCGTACACAAGGTACACGTTCCAGGGCGGTTCTCACCGCCCCCAGCCACCGATTAGCTAAAAACACAGTCGACGGCCATCGGGGTCTCGGTCCGCACCGCAACTTCGATGGCCCTTAGATGACATGTCGTAGTTAAACGCACGCATGAGCACATGCGCGGCCCTACCCACAGCGGAGGGCCCAAACCCGTGGGTTCTGGCTAGCCCACCGGTTCTGCGTCAGATGAAGCTTTAATAGTCTCGGGACTGAAAGCAAAAACATCAGTTAATACAAGATACAAGATACACCTCCAAAGCCGTAATATAAAGGCTAACCAACATTGGGTTATCTAGGGTTAATATTCAGGGTGGGCCTGGGCCTTTACTACAAAAAAAATCGAACACTATGCGTCGCATTATAACAGTTCATTATAGTTAACAATTTTAATAATTTATAATAGTAGTATTAAGTAATTAATGGTTAGTACGTTGTGTAAAGTATTTAGTACAAGTAAATCCACGTAATTTATTGTAATAAAAACTAAGTATGTAAATATAGATCGGCTTTAGATAATTATTTGATTTCAATAATTTTTTATGAAGTTTCTCAGGGATCCAGCCTAGAATTTCGAACGAGTAACCAAAATCCAAATAGGGATGGGCACTATATGGTACTGGGGTGGGCACGGTTTTATAGTTACAATTTTCAATATTATCATTTAACCTAAATTCATCAAAAGATATTCTTCGTCATGAGTGGGCGAGGTACACTTGTAAATCACATATAAGCCATGTGAAACAATGAGATGAGATGTGATATAGTTAACCGTTTAGCGAATGTACGCGAATATACATAGTAGCCTATTATATTAAATCATTTAGTCTATAGTCATCAAACATGGAACCCTCAAAGTTGTCAGGAAAGAAGCGGTTACTCCCACAAGGTACTCGCCTTCTGTATGCATTCATTCAGTCCTCCCTGAGTTATTTACAATCTGGACGCCCATTGTAAATCGCACATTTCCAGCGAAATTTCTTACGAAATTCAAAAAAGCCTTTGGAATTTTGGTCACCTCCACCTAACACCCAGAAAATGTATATACGTGACTTACATTACCCAATAAAATAATTGTAGAAAAAAACTTAAATATATAATATTAAATGAAACTATTTTATCGTTCATTATTTTTAATTTTAGCTCACCACTACCATGAATGCTAGAATAGGTTCGAAACGTCGGTATTAAAATATGTAGGCATTTGAAAAACAACTGTTTTTCTAGCCATAACTTGGCAAATATGGGTGAATTCTTTTAAAAGTAAAATTATTAAACAATTTTACCACAAAGTAAACGTATGGGATGAATATAATTATTTTTAGTAGACACAGAATATAATACAAAAACTTACATTCGTGACGCGTACGCCATTCATATCGACAAGTGAATGAACGTTACTCTACAAGGAGCGTAGTGGAACCAAACCCGGTAAAAGAAAGTGACCGTCCACAAGGTCAAGTCCTGACAGTAGGCCACCGCGCTGGTGGCTACCACGCATAACAATGATACCATATAACAATATCGCAGCGCGCATTCGAGCTTTGATCGTCGAGCAAACTAACAAGCGACGGAGTGTCAAAAAGCCGGCAGTAGAGACGCGAAAGAATTTTTTTTTAATAAAAAAAAAATCCTATCAAACGTGCATATAGATTGTTTCGATTTTACTGTGTTTGTCACGGCACAACGGATCAATTAAAGAACAAGAGTTGCCTCGAAATGTGTAGAATATTAGCGGTGGTACTCTTGCAATTCGCAAGTTTAAGCGCAGCACCACTCAATTTGCAACTTCGGCACCCGCTGCAGAAAACGGCGCAGCATCCCCAGCAGATGCTGCAGCAACAGCTGCTTGAACTGCAACACCTGCAGGGATTCCAGCAGAAAACCGATTGGCCAGCTCAATTGTGAGTAAATTGTTACAAACTTTTTCAAACCTAGTTAATTATAACAATGCAGAAGCTGTTATAGCATGATTATTAATTTTGAATAATTTTTCCGATTTCGCGAATTCTTTTCAGGTCAACCGTAACCAGTAATAGTATTTTCACTATCAATAAGTGAGTAGTGTAAGAGAGTAATGCAGGAACATTGAACATAGGAATGTTGAATAAAGATTTTCAAATTTGAAAATAATAGTAAGACGAAAATACTAGACAAGGACCGAAATAAAATCAGTATTCAATGAGCTTTAGTCTAATATAGAATGGGAATAAAATTCTTGATGAAAATACAATAGATTATAGTTTTAAATAACTAAAAAACAGGTTTCAATGGATTCATTTTCCAAGTAAATAAAAGAAAAATTAATTTAGACACAAAGTGACAATTGATAAAGTTACTTTTTAGGCAGCATCAACGCATGTTTTTGAGTTGTTTTTAAACTTTATTTTCGATATTTTATTTCTGTTTATGGTCAGGATACACTTATTATACTATTGTACTGTCATCGATCCTCGATAAGTGTGAAAGGTTTCAAGTCAATAAATATCGTTCTAAGGTCCCGATATAAACTTATAAACATAAAGATGAAGCTAATACAAAGTTATTAAAAACACCACATCCAATAATGAAAGCGCCATAAGCAGCGAACTGTTGCGGGGACCATACTAGTTATTTTGGTTAAATTGGAAAATTTCGATTCTTTTCTCCATGCTTTCTATTCAAAATTTTACATATCAGAACAATATATTACGACGATATCAAGTGAAGCCATTAATTTAATCATAATGGTCGAGAAAGCATTTGCGCATATGCTATATTTCTACAGTTAGCCCATCAAATATTAGATATGACAACGTACGCATCGCAACGACTCTAATGGACTCAACCTAAATACCAAAGTTATCTACTCATTTCGCTTACCTTCAGACAATAACTCGGGGCAAAGACCTTGAAAACTGATCATTACTATGCATATATTACTTTAATCGTTTTGTCCTTTTATCCATTTTTATATCGTCTTCATTATGGACACTGTAGGTACGTTTTTTTTGTTGAGTATTTTCATTTTGCAAATATAAAGTACTTTCTTCGAACACCAGAATGTGTTAAAGGCACAAGATTTGCAAAGCAAAATCCCTGTGTCACTAATTAAAACCAAATATTGATTCATTATAATCTAATTAATTTGTTTAACAAATTTCTTGCAAATAACTTCATAATGTTACTAAAACAACTGTTTATGGCATTAGATCTTATATTTAAGGCATTGTTTTTCTGTACGAGTGACAAACTAACCCTTTTAAAGGTATTTTATTGTGATTGTGATGTGATTTTGATTTTACCGCCGCCCGTAGACTGAATCTCTACCTTGCTTAGTATTTTACTAACTGAAACTCAAGATACTTGACAAAAAACTTTGTAAAAGAATGATGAGACATATAGTAATGATGAGTCAATGTCACCTTAAGTTAAAACTTTTGTGTCTTCATCTAACGATAAAAGAACCTATATTCCGTTTTCAAGCAATTTCGTTACTGAACTCGTTATTGTCTCAACATCTATGATAAGCTTCGATGAGCCTGTTAGTGTTTTTGCTGAAAAACTCATATTAGTAAGTTCTTCCAACTATTGTTGGACAAAACATATGATATTTCCCTTTTTCCGTAAATGTACGAAATATTACCTTGTTGAATTAATTACAAGTTGAAAATATGTACAAAAATTGTAATTACAAATTGCATCTTTTTTCAGAGGAATATCACCGGTCATAATCCTCCTACCGAGCCAGATCGCCGCAAAGAATATCAACGACCACACCAAGATCTCTGCCGACACGAAGAGTAGCAACAAAGAAGTGGTCAACGAGGATCTAGAATCAATAACAGTGGATGCTGACACCGGTGACGAAGACGCGGCCGTTGAGCCACAGAACATCGTCCTTCTACCAAACTATGCAAGATTGTCGTTGGGTGATATAATCGCCGCAATACCCTTTTTACCGATAGAAATCAACGTACCAGATACAATCGGTTGGGCATACAACGGTATATCGAGCGGGATCTCGAGCATAATATCGATATTCGGCCGGCTACCGTTCGTTTCACGGCCGACGAATCCGACCGAGGAGGTCAGGCTCAAGTCTACGTTGCAACTTTTGCAGATGAAGAAGCAGAACAGCTTCGCATCGATTATACTTATGCCAATAACGCCTCAAATAGTGCCGATACAATTGCCCATTCAAGTGTAATAAAGGTGGAAGCGAATTTTTTTTATTTAAATTTAATGTTCTCCCTGTGAATTTCGCACCTCTCTTACTTATATTTTGATGTAAAAAGGCGGTTTACAAAGGTAGAAATCACTATCAAATGGAGAATGAAATCTCGAAATATTCCCCGGAATATTCCCTTTTTTTTACCATTCCCATGTCAATTCTTATAGACTTGTTTAAAAGTATCAACAAATGTAACTCATTTATTGAAAATCGACTTTTTAAGATTATTTAAACATTTAAAGCATCATTATCATATGAATCTTCACATTTATTACATTAATATCCGTATAATATAATAACATTGTGTAAGTCAACGCATCCATAGTACTTATAATTTGTATCAATTTCAACTAAGCAAAATAAAAAAAATATATTCTGTATGTAATAATAAATACTATAATATGTTTTTCGAACAACATCAGCTACAAGAGGCGGAAACAAAGAAACCAATCTATTCAAATATCGTTTATTTAATTCAAAGTATTCACATTGGTAATGTCAATAATGGCTAACTTAACCTACTCGCGACTAAAATGGCAACGGAACTTATCCTAATTCGTGGACGGCACTGTTAGACATGTACTGACCCTAATACAGACCTTTGGAAATCCAGCCTACTCGTCTGAAATATAAGGTTTGTATCACGTAAAAGGGTATATTCTTCGGTATGATCGTGATAAAGTTATAACCGAAAATTTCAGAAGCTGTATTTATTTTTCATGTTTTCGAGTGTATAACACAGAATAGTAATGAGATTCATAGAGATATTACTTTTAATGATTTTATACAAATATCGACTTTAAATGGAGATTATTTAAATGTAATAAAATGTATAAAATATAATCAATAATCTGTATTAGTTATGCGCCAAAGCCTAACATCTAACTGTACTTTCGGCAAGTTTGACCGCGCTTTAACTTTTCGGCGGCAATTTGGTGTTAATTGTGTTTAAAATATTTGTTTTGTCGACGATCCCGGTCTTGAGTAAACAGAGGTCTAAGAACGTCGATTTTCAAAGTAGCTGGGGTCTTGGTTGTAGTTCTGACTAAGTTGCGCGCCTTCTTTGGGCACTATGATGGAGACTGGGTAGGTGAAGCTGTAGAAGAAGCCACGTGGCGGACCCTGCAGAACGTAACAAATAAGGACACAACAAATTTTAGTCCCAAAGTGGGGACACATTTTTTGTTGGGTACTAGCACAACGTTCTATAAAACATTTCTTTTGTAAATAAATACATATTATGTAATATTATAATCACACAATATTCCTTTCGAAGTGCTGACTTATCACGTGAATTAGAAAATTAAAAATTGTATATAAAGCGGGAATTAGAAATAGTTAAGCATATTTTACGAAATAACAAAAGAATACCAGAGAAAAAAAAACATAGTTCGAAGATATGTGTAACTGTCGTCGTCAATCTGCAGTGGGACTTATCGCGTGGGGCATATTTTCAGTGGGATCGCGTGGTGGACTATGCCTTAAAACACTCTATAGATAGGAGGTGGCTATGCACTAATACTCTCTGTAGTTTGCCTTTGCCCTGCGGTGGGACTTTTATAGGATATAAAACATACTTGTTAATTATATATAATAAATAAATTATAAATAATAACTTTACTTGTTCTATTTTATCATACTCTCGTCCGGTTTCTCAAACACCGATCATCGTAGAAGGCAACTAATCAGCCGTCAAAAGGCTTTCCAAACGTTATTTGAGTTGCCAAAGGGATTGTTGATTCAACTCTCTGTATTGATCAGAATGATCTTGTTAATGATCAGAATGGTCAGTTAAAAGAGTCTAACAAACCTTTTGGCAACTCGAATAACTTTTTTATAGTTTTTATACTGCTAATCTCTGCACTTAAGGTTGAACATTAAAACATGTAGAAAGAGTACGAAAAGATTGTCGCCGCTGTGGGAATCGAACCCGCGTCTTCGGCATTCGCGGCCTGGCGCTCTAGCCACTGAGCTAAACGGCCGGTAGCCACAGCGACGAAAACCTTAACGCCTTCTTTCTACATTGTTATTGAGCATTTGAAAGCCATTTAACAGCTGATTAGTTGACTTCTACGATGATCGGTGTTTCAGAAACCGGGCGTTATACTTCTTAACGTCAAAGTGCATTAGCTCGGTGTCGTTATGGTGCACTCACGGTCGGCTCGGGTTCTTCGGTGGTCGTGGTGTAGAACTGCTGTCCGTAATTAAGCGCCTTGGCGTCGCGCGGAACCTGCGCCGCCGGCTGTACGGGGGCCGCCACCACCTCGCCTTGAAGCTCAGAAGCGGCGGGCTGGTAGTCTCTGGGGGAAAAATTATGCGATGAATTCATCTATGTCGCAGTTGAAGTACAGCGATTAGAACGATTCCGATATATGATGTGGTGGAGCTGTGTACTTTTACCGACACAATCCAAATCTACTTTAATGTAAATTTTGGGGTCAGTAGAAGGTAAAAAGTCAAAAGTCATAGGTAGTGAAAAGTGGTTTCTTCCGTAACGGAATATTATAGCCTTCATCCTTTTTTTGAGAATGTTTCTAAAAGATTTAAGTAAGGAGAAAAATAATATTTCCAAAAAAAAAACACATCCAGTTTCGGAGACGGGAGGCATATCGCAAAACCTTCACAGAACACCGACGTTAAGTGTAGGCTTAGTTCGATCCCCGGTGCCGGCTCTAATTAATGAACTTGTCAATTTTAAGCGCTGACTTGTCACGCGTTTAGCGATGAAGGGAAACATCGTGAGGAAAACTACATATTTTTGAAATAATAGCGAAATAAAATATTTCCGCCAATCCGTAGTGTGGCCGCGTGGTGGACTATGCCCTGATACCCTCTGTGCAGAGGAGGCCTTTGCCGAGCAGGAGGGATGTCGAAAGTGAAGAAATATATTGACATTTATAAAAAATGCCAATATCGGCCTCAATATATCGAAGAGAAAAAATCGAAATATCGATATATCGATACATCGATTTTTTCTCTTTTTAGGTCCTAGAAATCCCGTCATCCTAAACATATGTCAAATATTAAATATTTGACACCTACGGACTCTGTGCCGCATTTGTATTTGAAAAAATATCGTTTTTTGATACGGTTTTCTATATTGTATATTTTGCATCGATATATCGGCCCAAATATATCGGCTTAAAACATCGATATATAGAATCAAAAATATTCGATATTAGATTTTTTCGCCATCCCTACCCAGCAGTGGGACAACGTACTTTGCTTAAACTTTCAATAGTACAAGCAGCGCATGTGCGAGCCTTCCGGTGTTGCAGATTTTTTTTTTCATGTGAAAAAGTGGCAAACGAGCTGGCGGTTCACCTGATGTTAAGTAATAACCGCCGGCCATGGACATTTGGAACACCCGTAAGGTTCAAAATGCGTTGCCACCTTTAAATAATATGGGCCCCGGCCACCGCACTCACCAGACGAAACGCAGAAGTATAACAGTTCTACTTTACGCCGGTCTTCTGTGAGATCGTGGTACTTACCCGGACCTGCCCATTCGTGCAACAGCGGAAACTTTCGCGTGGCCCTGCCACAGTTAAATGGTACATGGATATTTTAAATTGTTTATAGTGCTAATCTTTGCACTTAAGATTGAACATTAAAACATGTAGAAAAAGTGCGAAAAGACTGTCGCCGTTGTGGGAATCGAACCCAAAAAGGTTGTCGAGGCACCTGCAACCCTCGGGTGTAGATGTCCATGGGCGGCGGTGTTCACTTAACATCAGGTGAACCGTCCGCTCGTTCGGCAACTTTTCACATAAAACAGAACATCCCGCACTTACTGCGGGAGCGGGGCGAGCAGCGAGGCCGCTCGCGCCTCCTGCCAGGCGCGCTCGTGCGCCAGCCGCGCCTCGCGCACCTCCTGCGTCTCCTCCGCGGGCTTCAGCTCCACCTTGGGGATGTTGTCCTCCTGGTGGAAGCCCTGGCTGTCCGCCCAGTAGCGCACCTACGGCGAATCGACATAAATGCCCCCCCTGTACACAGGCCTCAGCCCAGCAGTGGCCCTACCACATTAAGAGTAAAAGCAAAGTAACAGCCTATATCTGTTAGTTTACTTTTACTCTTAATGTGGTAGGGCCACACAGCAGTACGACGACCTCAAAGAAGAGCGGCGCGAAGTGGAATTGTTATTCCTATGCATTTTGTCCGGTGCGTGACCGGGGTGCACTTTGTCAAAAGGTGGCAACGCATCTGCAACCGTACGGGAGCTATAAATGGCAATGGGTGGCGGTTATTACTAAACATCAGGTGAACTGCCTGCCCACTTAGCCACGTGAAAAATATTTATTTACTACGAAAAACAGCTTAAAATATACAATTACATTACCAAGATAAAACCAAAGCAAATTACTGTTCCCTCATATAATTACAAATTTTAAGTAAATACAGACATATTATATTGGCGGGTTTGAACAGACCTTTATAAGTTCTAAACATTGCGTAAAATTGAGTCGGTGTGGCAATCAAACGTTTAGCTTAGTAGTTAGAACGCCTGGGCACGAATCCAGAACAGATGGGTTCGATTGCGCAGCGACGAAAAACTCTTCTTCTGTTTCTTCCACAAATGTTTACCTTTATAAGCTCGTTGTTCCCGTCTCTGTACACGTAGGAGCCCTTGACGTTGCCGGAGCCGGCGCGGTCCTCCACTTTGGCTGATTCGGGGGTCTTGTATCCGTAGCTGTAGTCACCGCGGCCGCTCTGACCGTGGAACTGCTCGGCGTTATACACCTGCAGCGTCGAAATTGACCATTACATTCCAACCGATCTCAATCCTAACAACTATGAAAGCACACATACGAACAGAATCAGACTATTTTAAGTTTTTTTTTTGTGCCAAATTCACATTTTCTTTCTTTCTTTCTAAAGCTTCCGACTGATCTCAATCCCAACTATTAAAGCTTAAAAAATTAGTTGCAAACAATTAGTACAATTACGTTATGATTAAGAATATTATTACCAAACTTGTTAAAATCACTGTAATTAGCGAATTGTGATTTAGCGATGCTTACTTTTATTAATAATGCTCAATTTTATATATAAGTGTTTACTTTAGACACACTGCATAAGTTACGTCCCATGGCCCCCGATTTGTCTTCAATAGGTCTCTTTTTCTGTTACTTCTTTTTTATTATTATTTGAAACTTCATTTCAGGAATAACATTATAATTTACATCTTTATTTGAATTAACACACTCTAGTTAAAAAACACACTATATTTTAAAAATTTAATTCGATTATATCCCTTTAAACAGTCTTAGACTTCTGAGCGAATTTGAGATTATTATTGCTTTGTTGTTACATTCAAACGGATAAGTTGAAATTAAGAGAAACAAGCCATATGAAGATATTGTAAAATTAACATTTTTACTACAAATCCGGTTAAACCAGTGACTTCGTAAACCAACAAAGGTCCTCAGCAAGCACATAATAATCTTCAAACATTTGCTTAACGCATTAAACCGTCTGTGTTTTTTGTCGAATGTTTTAATTAACTGATTGTTCTCTTTGAAGGACGAATAATTTGAATTACTAATTTAGATGTTTTACTAAAATAATATTTTAATTTAATGAAGGCAGAGATAGAAACCAAAATTTTAAATAGAACATAAGATCAAACCCAAACAGTAACTTCAGTAGGTTTATATCAGTTTACTAATTTACTAAATAGATATTCGATTGCCTTATTCGAACTTTAGTTTGAATATATGAAGTGTTCAATTATATGATTAAAGTGACTGTTACAATTCTATTTAAAGTCCAAATCAGCTTTAGTACCTCTTCCTGGTAGTTTTCTGGGTCAGTGATTTCCTGTCCATTCTTCCAGTAGTGGCCAAGGGTTGGACCGGCTTCGGCTGAGCGAAATCTAGGGTCATCGTACCTGATCTGGAATTAACATCACACAAGAGTGTTTATAGTTATTTGTTTATTATTTGTTTTTGTTGGCACACTAAGCCTCCCCTTACGTTCAGCAATGGACGGCAATAGGTTGATATTGTTGTTGTTGTTTATTAATTTATAAATGAGACACAATGACACAAGATTAAACGTTATCGTGAATCTTGTTGATCTTGTTGATGATTTGTCATCGCTAAAATAAATTGAATTCGAAAATTTGTATTTTCAATCCCTTGAAGATACAGCCAAGATTAAAGCATTAAATAAAAAGGTAGTTCTTACTTCATAAAAATACTATTTTATTTCAATAAAAACATGAAAGTGAAGTAAAGGCCAGTAAGTAATGATTCAACTAATTTACAGAAATTTTTTGAATACAAGAAAGGTGATATAATGAATATTGTCATTTTAACATAGGTACTAACAAAGAATAATAAAGTATAGACATAGTTTCAATATATTTACACACGTTGGTTTTCTAAATGCAAAGAAAAAACCGCGAATCATCCCCAATTATACAAGCTCTATGGACTTTACTACGAGCTCATAAAGGAGACTAATATGGTAAATCGTTGGTGGTCAATTTATACCAACTAGAAGTTTCCCTGGCAAAAGATCTGGAATGCCCCGAAGTTAAACTTCAGTATACATACCAATCATACAATACGTGGCTCAGGATCGTGCTTCGTGGCAGTCTGTGGGGGACGCCTATGTTCAGCAGTGGACTCAAACAGGCTGAAATGATGACGATGATGATGATACATACCAATGGTAGAATTGCCGTGCGCCCGGCGAGCTGGGGGTCTGCGAAGGGCGGGTTGTTGATGTACTTCTGGGCTTCATCTGGGTCCAGGTCGATCTTCAGCACGTTGGATACAGGGTTCGGTGCACCCGAAACCACCACCACCTAGACAGGCGAAGGAATTTTTAATCACGAGCTACCTGAGGCCCGACTATCATCCCATCCAATCGCAAACAGTAGACTTTTAGGTGTCTGATGATGACTTCTTATGAATGAACACTTTAATCCTAGACTTTTTTTAAAGTCTTGGGTTTCTTTCTTTGTCTTCCATGGCTATTATTTTAGAGTAGTTTACAGGCTTTGAAGATTATAGACAAAACTGTAAGAGTTAGGTAATAATATTGACATCTAATCTTGTATTACGTATAAATTAACAGAACCTGTAGTACATTAGTATACTAACAACAGTAGTACTACTTCAATAGTACACAAAACTCGGCAGTAGTAAGAGGGCCACTGTTTTCAATTTATTAATTTTATCAACTCTGCCGTTAGTCATAGTCCTGATTTATTCGCTAGGTGTCGTTGTATCTAACTAGGATCTTCATCTCAATGAGGTAAGTATATTGTGCGAATACCGCCTAAATCGGTCAAGGCCTTCGACAGCTTACGACGATTTCAAATTTATAGAAAGATATTGCGTAAAAAGCGAAATACGCAAACATCTGAATCACTGACAAGTTTTGGAGGCCAAGTTCAGAATAAAGACGCCTCGGACGACAGTTTTGAAGAGCGCGTCGCGTGTTTGTTTGAACTTTTAAACGGAAATACCAGCAATATTGACATGGAAATATGCATGTTGGTGGCAGACGAGACAATAAAACTGACTGAATCTTTTAAAAGTAATCGAGCGAACTTTAATTATAAAGGCCTGAATACTGTTGAAAACAAAATTTTGTGTGTAAAGTACTTTGATGTAAATCAAAAGACCAAGGTACGTGGAAATGACTTGGTCTTCTCTGCTCCGGTCACTGGAAACTGCTAGTTTTATACCAATGAATTTCCTTCTACAATGATCTTCTGTAAAAAAATAAGAAATATTTAATAAATGCTGTGGTATGGGACCGCTATTACCGAAGACAACTCCACACACGTTGCCAATGTTCATAGGCTACGGTAATCAATTAAAATCAGATGAACTGCCTGCTCACTTGCTAGCATCTCGTATAAAAATATTGACTTTTTTAGCATTTCAGATCATTTGAAGAAGTGTCGGTGACAATACAATTTCGAGACATTTCAATTTATACTATACAAATCGTTGTGTCCTGGCCAATCGGTCAAGCTAAATTTTAATGTTAACTGATTTGTTATGAACTATAATAAAATATTATATTAGATATACCCTTTCATTTAAATTTGAAATAGCCTTTATATGTCATTCACATATTTTCTAATGTAACTGGCTTTATTATATGCTTATGTAGAAAATACATTATGATGTTTCCGATGAAATTTTTTAGCTCCGTTTTTTTTCCCTGTTTTTTTTTTAATAATCGCCCTTACTTGAGGATAACATTATCCTGTGTTGTAAGGACGTTTTAAAAATCACCCAGATGCGAAACAACTATGTGTGGGTCACACAAATAGTTGTTCCGTGTGGAGTAGTTGGATCGAACCCACGCCCCCAAAGCCGAAGCCAATACCTTGGCAACTGCACCACGGGTTTCAGATTTGAAAATGTTAAAAACTTGAATACTTACGTGAATAGAGATTATCTATAGACTTGTTAATTATTGTTAACCCAAATATGGGGCAAACAAACATAAATAAAGGACGTGTAGTAAAAAAATAAGTACTCCGTTTATTAACATTTGTTTAAAAAACCGTCATAACAGTCAAGAAGAAAGAATCATGCATATATGCATTTGTTTTCCTCGTTGCCCCCACTTCTTTTGACCTATATGAGGTCAAGAGCTGGCCACACATTACCGAATTTATTAAGTCCCAAAAGTCGCATGTGATAATTTTATCGGCGTACAGGTTTAAATATGAGATTTTTTTTAATATTTGGTTTTAACACGAGAAACTTTTTAAAATGAAAGTCATGAGTGTACCCCAATGATGTTTAATAGTATAGATGTCGCATGTTCATACTGCGCGGCGTATTATATGGCATTATATAAGTGGGTGTGGCAGATGATTCGAATGAACGGTCTAAGATCTCTTTTTTGGTGCTCTTTTTTAAAACACATTGCCCCACTTTAGGAAAACATTATCCTGTGTTGTAAGGACGTTTTACAAGCATAAATTGCACGAGGACAAACACCCAGATGCGAAACAACTATCTGTGATATTATATATATGTGAGCCGTGATAGCTCAGTGTCCAGGCGCTCGCCTTTAATTCAATATACTCGAGCAACCTGAGTTCGATCCCCGGTGGCGGCACCAATGAAGTTTTTAACTTTAAGTGCTGACTTATCACGTGCTCCGCGGTGAAGGAAAACATCGTGAGTAAACCTGCATATTTTCGAAATAATAACAAAAAAATATATATATTTCGAAAATATGTGAAGTCCGCCAATCCGCAGTGGGGCCGCGTGGTGGACTATGCCCTGATAGCCTCTATAAAGAGGAGGCCTCTGCCCAGCAGTGGGACATGTATAGGCTGTTACTTTACTTTTTTTTATATATATTTGATAATTATCAATAGGACACATAAAGACGTCCCGTGTGAGATCGAAAACGAAAGAATCGACCCCCGGTGCTGAAGCTCATATTAAACTCAAAAATAGGGATCGAAGCGGCTACTTTTTATACAGCAGCGCAACATACATCCACCCAGCTACCCCGTCGAAGGCTATTTCGTTCGTAATAAATTCTCGACGTTCATAAAGAGCCGTTTTAATGTTTGTTATTATGCTTTTTTCAAGGAAGAGTCATCGTAACTGCCAATTATACATTTTTAAGTTTCCATAAAATATGTCTTGTATTCGAAGTAAACAGTAACATTAATTGGTTTTTAAAATAAATACTAAGTTTTTTTAAACCTTAAAATTCCGTGTTTTTACTTTAACACCATATTAAATGTAAATGTAATGTAATGTGTTAAAACACTGCCCTTACTTTAGGATAATATTATCCTATGTTGTAGGGACGTTTTACAAACATAAATTTCACGCGGACAAACACCCAGATGCGAAACAACTATCTGTGGGTCACACACAAATAGTTGTCCCGTGTGGGAATCGAACCCACGACCCCTGACGCCGAAGACAATACCCTGGCAACTGCGCCACGGAGTCAGCAATATTGTATTCATTAGCATAAAGGTTAGACACGGTTAGTTCTGTCAAAAGACAATGATTATGTATGCACAGGCTGTATCTATCGGTGAATGCCAAGTAGTCATTTTTACTAACGCAAATTTTGGATTACCAGTCAAATATGTTTTGTTTCCAACTCTTTTTTCCTAAACGATTTCATGGCAACCGCGTTGAGCTTCCGTCAAACGATGAATTTAATGCAATTCATTTCTTTTGTCTCAGCGAAGGAGATACACGGTTGCAGGCCTTAATTATTATATATGCTTTATTGAACACCATAAACATATATGAGAAATGTTACATAAATAACTTATAAGGTAGTAACAATAAGGCGGTCTTATCGCTAAAAAGCGATATCTTCCAGACAACCTTGTGGCTAAATCTTGATTTTAAACTAGTTATCTCGTTGTTACACCCCGTAGCCCATACCTGTCTAACTATTTAGGGTTAGAGACGAAAGAGATATTAATCCTAAGTCATTTGTAAGTTTCACAAAAATGGATCATCATCGTCAATATTGATTAGAACACGATGGACATTACACAAAAATGCGATTAGCAAATAATTACGTATGCACATAATAATGTATAGTTTAGTTTAACATAATTATTGATGAAGTGTATGTTTGTTGTCTCTAAAAATGTCTATTATTTAACTATAAAGGATAAATCCCATCATACGTTTAGTTCGTTAATTATGTACCTATGGCTAAGCTATTTGCTTTTAAAATATTTACTTTGTTATATAATTAAATCACGCCTTTTGTAATATAACATAAGCACATTTTGCCCAATTATGATAAAAGTAGTTGACTGTTTTCTAACTAGTACCGTACATTTCTGTGTATAAGATTTTCTTAGTAAAAGATTATTCACTGATGCATAAAGAGTTTACAGCCCAGAATGCCTTTATGATGTGAGCTATTATCACATTGTGAGATTTATATTTCAAATTAATAATAGTAGTTTTATAAAAACATGACATTCTGGGCAACTCAATCTACAACTCTGTTTACTACAACCGTTACCTTCTAATCAGTATGCACATATGTCGTGATAAAATACAAAAAACAACATGAATTAATAACAGGTATTACAGGTGTTCATCTGCCTCATTCATTACCATACATTCATCTCGAATCTTCGTTTGAGTCACACCACACATTATGTAACGTCATTTCACAATCCGTGATATATTATCACCCATTATGCGTAAATGATCCCTTAGTTAATTACTATTATATTATTTTTATATTTATTTATAAAGGTACACCAAAAACATGTTCAAGGTACAATAAAAGGTTAGAAGTACACATAATTAAATTAACAGGCGCACACACATAAGTGCCGTACAAGAAACTAATATAGAAACTATAAAATATAATAACTAATATAGAAAGGTAACAGATACATATTAAAAAAAAACATTTACAAACAATATCTCAATTGCTAATACACAACTGGCCCGATAAGCTTCAAAGTTTTCAGTTACAGTATACATTACTGTAACTGAAAACTTTCGGTAAAGATAAGATCATGGTAATTAACCACAGGATATATTGCTCTAAACAGTTGAGTCGGCACCATTATATCTGAACCTAATGTAGGTTTACGTAAGTCATCATCAACAGACGGGTCTCCTGTTAAGTTATCATCGCCACTCGTGGACATCTACAACTCATGAGGACATGCCGTTGCCATGGACATGTACAAAATAGTGATCCCGTCTACCTCTTTCACCAGACGAAACGCGATAGCAAAAAACCTCCACCTCACGCTGGTATTCTGTTCCATTATTGCCCATTCGTGCAATAATAGTCAGAGAGCACACAGTAATATGACAATTCAAACAGAGCACACTATTTGTACTTTATCACTGGCTAATGCATTTCTACCGTGCATCTTAAAAGTGATGATTGAGATATAACGAAAGATTACTATTCTGTAACATTAAATTTGTGATCATTTTTAGTGTTCCATACCCAAAGGGTAAAAGGCACCCTATTAGAAAGATCCCGTTGTCTGTCTGTCTGTCTGTCGGTCCGTCTATCACCAGGCTGTATCTCATGAACCATGATAGTTAGACAGTTGAATTTTCAGAGATGATGTATTTCTTTTACCATTGTAACAACAACTAAAAAATGGGAAAAAAAACTTTTCAAAGGACAACAGACATACTTTTATGCTATTCTTATTTAATCTGCTTTGTTATTCAGATTTAATTCAATAACACGACGAGGTGATGTCACAAATCTCCTAAAGCTCTTATCGCCGCCGAATTGACCCAAATCATAATTAATGTCAGCCTTTTTTCACGTAATCCCCCGAGGATTATAATCAAGAAATGTAATACAATGCTAATACAGAATAAATAAAACGAAGTATTGAATTTGTAAGATGAGTGGAAATGTTTCTTTTTATGCACTGACATGTTGCTGCAAATTTTATTCCAAAAGGTATTATAATTAAGAAAAGAAAATAATAGAATATATATAATATATATAATATATAATATATATAAATATATATATATATATATATATTATACTAGCTGCTGCCCGCAACTACGTCTGTGTAGAGTAGGCTTAAGGCGTAACATTCAGAGAGAAAGACAGATGTACATAATATATGTATACAAATTATAGCCTATGTCTTATTCTGATGTATAATCTATATTATTGTAAAAGTTTCATTAAAATTCGTTCAGTAGTATTTGCTTGAAAGTGTAACAAACATCCATACTTACAAACGTTCGCCTTTATAATATTAGTAAGGATATAATCTTTTCTATAATATATAGGATATATAAGATATACATATATAAGAAAAGAAATAATTTGT